AAGGGTGTACAAAAGTGTACAAGGGTGCACAAGTTTGTACAAGGGTGTACAAGTGTGTACAAGCTTGTACAAGTGTGTACAAGCTTGTACAAGTGTGTACAAGGGTGTACAGGTTTGTACAAGGTTGTACAAGTGTTTACAAGGGTGTACAAGTATGTACAAGAATGTACAAGTTTGTACAAGTGTGTACAAGTGTGTACAAGGTTGTACAAGTGTGTACAAGGTTGTACAAGTGTGTACAAGGTTGTACAAGTGTGTACAAGGTTGTACAAGTGTGTACAAAGGTGTACAAGTGTGTACAAGGTTGTACAAGTGTGTACAAGGTTGTACAAGGTTGTACAATTGTGTACAAGGTTGTACAAGTGTGTACAAGGTTGTACAAGTGTGTACAAGGGTGTACAAGTTTGTACAAGTGTGTACAAGTTTGTACAATTGTGTACAAGTTTGTACAAGGTTGTACAAATGTATACAAGGGTGTACAAAAGTGTACAAGGGTGCACAAGTTTGTACAAGGGTGTACAAGTGTGTACAAGCTTGTACAAGTGTGTACAAGGGTGTACAGGTTTGTACAAGGTTGTACAAGTGTTTACAAGGGTGTACAAGTATGTACAAGAATGTAAAAGTTTGTACAAGTGTGTACAAGTTTGTAAAAGGTTGTACAAGTGTGTACAAGGGTGTACAAGTGTGTACAAGGGTGCACAAGTGTGTACAAGGGTGTACAATCGTGTACAATCTTGTACAAGTGTGAACAAGGGTGTACAGGTTTGTACAAGGTTGTACAAGTGTGTACAAGGTTGTACAAGTGTGTACAAGGGTGTACAAGTTTGTACAAGTGTGTACAAGTTTGTACAATTGTGTACAAGTTTGTACAAGGTTGTACAAATGTATACAAGGGTGTACAAAAGTAAACAAGGGTGCACAAGTTTGTACAAGGGTGTACAAGTGTGTACAAGCTTGTACAAGTGTGTACAAGCTTGTACAAGTGTGTACAAGGGTGTACAGGTTTGTACAAGTTTGTACAAGTGTTTACAAGGGTGTACAAGTATGTACAAGAATGTACAAGTTTGTACAAGTGTGTACAAGTTTGTAAAAGGTTGTACAAGTGTGTACAAGGGTGTACAAGTGTGTACAAGGGTGCACAAGTGTGTACAAGGGTGTACAATCGTGTACAAGCTTGTACAAGTGTGTTCAAGGGTGTACAGGTTTGTACAAGGTTGTACAAGTGTGTACAAGGGTGTACAAATGTGTACAAGGATGTACAAGTATGTACAAGAATGTACAATTTTTTACAAGTGTGTACAAGTTTGTAAAAGGTTGTACAAGTGTGTACAAGGCTGTACAAGTGTGTACAAGGTTGTACAAGTGTGTACAAGCTTGTACAAGTGTGTACAAGGGTGTACAAGTGTGTACAAGCTTGTACAAGTGTGTACAAGGGTGTACAAGTGTGTACAAGGTTGTACAAGTTTTTACAAGGTTGTACAAGTGTGTACAAGGTTGTACAAGTGTGTACAAGGTTGTACAAGTGTGTACAAGGTTGTACAAGTGTGTACAAGGTTGTATAAGTGTGTACAAGGTTGAAAAAGTGTGTACAAGGTTGTACAAGTGTGTACAAGGTTGTACAAGTGTGGACAAGGTTGTACAAGTGTGTACAAAGGTGTACAATTGTGTACAAGGTTGTACAAGTGTGTACAAGGTTGTACAAGTGTGTACAAGGTTGTACAAGTGTGTACAAGGTTGTACAAGTGTGTACAAGGTTGTACAAGTGTGTACAAGTTTGTACAAGGTTGTACAATTGTGTACAAGGTTGTACAAGTGTGTACAAGGTTGTACAAGTGTGTACAAGGTTGTACAAGTGAGTACAAGGGTGTACAAGTTTGTACAAGTGTGTACAAGTTTGTACAAGTGTGTACAAGTTTGTACAAGGTTGTACAAATGTATACAAGGGTGTACAAAAGTGTACAAGGGTGCACAAGTTTGTACAAGGGTGTACAAGTGTGTACAAGCTTGTACAAGTGTGTACAAGCTTGTACAAGTGTGTACAAGGGTGTACAGGTTTGTACAAGGTTGTACAAGTGTTTACAAGGGTGTACAAGTATGTACAAGAATGTACAAGTTTGTACAAGTGTGTACAAGTGTGTACAAGGTTGTACAAGTGTGTACAAGGTTGTACAAGTGTGTACAAGGTTGTACAAGTGTGTACAAGGTTGTACAAGTGTGTACAAAGGTGTACAAGTGTGTACAAGGTTGTACAAGTGTGTACAAGGTTGAACAAGTGTGTACAAGGTTGTACAAGGTTGTACAATTGTGTACAAGGTTGTACAAGTGTGTACAAGGTTGTACAAGTGTGGACAAGGTTGTACAAGTGTGTACAAAGGTGTACAATTGTGTACAAGATTGTACAAGTGTGTACAAGGTTGTACAAGTGTGTACAAGGTTGTACAAGTTTGTACAAGGTTGTACAATTGTGTACAAGGTTGTACAAGTGTGTACAAGGTTGTACAAGTGTGTACAAGGTTGTACAAGTGAGTACAAGGGTGTACAAGTTTGTACAAGTGTGTACAAGTTTGTACAAGTGTGTACAAGTTTGTACAAGGTTGTACAAATGTATACAAGGGTGTACAAAAGTGTACAAGGGTGCACAAGTTTGTACAAGGGTGTACAAGTGTGTACAAGCTTGTACAAGTGTGTACAAGCTTGTACAAGTGTGTACAAGGGTGTACAGGTTTGTACAAGGTTGTACAAGTGTTTACAAGGGTGTACAAGTATGTACAAGAATGTACAAGTTTGTACAAGTGTGTACAAGTGTGTACAAGGTTGTACAAGTGTGTACAAGGTTGTACAAGTGTGTACAAGGTTGTACAAGTGTGTACAAGGTTGTACAAGTGTGTACAAAGGTGTACAAGTGTGTACAAGGTTGTACAAGTGTGTACAAGGTTGAACAAGTGTGTACAAGGTTGTACAAGGTTGTACAATTGTGTACAAGGTTGTACAAGTGTGTACAAGGTTGTACAAGTGTGTACAAGGGTGTACAAGTTTGTACAAGTGTGTACAAGTTTGTACAAGTGTGTACAAGTTTGTACAAGGTTGTACAAATGTATACAAGGGTGTACAAAAGTGTACAAGGGTGCACAAGTTTGTACAAGGGTGTACAAGTGTGTACAAGGGTGTACAGGTTTGTACAAGGTTGTACAAGTGTTTACAAGTGTGTACAAGTATGTACAAGAATGTAAAAGTTTGTACAAGTGTGTACAAGTTTGTAAAAGGTTGTACAAGTGTGTACAAGGGTGTACAAGTGTGTACAAGGGTGCACAAGTGTGTACAAGGGTGTACAATCGTGTACAATCTTGTACAAGTGTGTACAAGGGTGTACAGGTTTGTACAAGGTTGTACAAGTGTGTACAAGGTTGTACAAGTGTGTACAAGGGTGTACAAGTTTGTACAAGTGTGTACAAGTTTGTACAATTGTGTACAAGTTTGTACAAGGTTGTACAAATGTATACAAGGGTGTACAAAAGTAAACAAGGGTGCACAAGTTTGTACAAGGGTGTACAAGTGTGTACAAGCTTGTACAAGTGTGTACAAGCTTGTACAAGTGTGTACAAGGGTGTACAGGTTTGTACAAGTTTGTACAAGTGTTTACAAGGGTGTACAAGTATGTACAAGAATGTACAAGTTTGTACAAGTGTGTACAAGTTTGTAAAAGGTTGTACAAGTGTGTACAAGGGTGTACAAGTGTGTACAAGGGTGCACAAGTGTGTACAAGGGTGTACAATCGTGTACAAGCTTGTACAAGTGTGTTCAAGGGTGTACAGGTTTGTACAAGGTTGTACAAGTGTGTACAAGGGTGTACAAATGTGTACAAGGATGTAAAAGTTTGTACAAGTGTGTACAAGTTTGTACAAGGTTGTACAAGTAAGTACAAGTTTGTACAAGGGTGCACAAGTGTGTACAAGGTTGTACAAGTGTGTACAAGCTTGTACAAGTGTGTACAAGGTTGTACAAGTGTGTACAAGGTTGTACAAGTGTGTACAAGGTTGTACAAGTGTGTACAAGGTTGTACAAGTGTGTACAAGGTTGTACAAGTGTGTACAAGGTTGTACAAGTGTGTACATGGTTGTACAAGTGTGTACAAGGTTGTACAAGTGTGTACAAGGTTGTACAAGTGTGTACAAGGGTGCACAAGTGTGTACAAGGGTGTACAATCGTGTACAAGCTTGTACAAGTTTTTACAAGGTTGTACAAGTGTGTACAAGGTTGTACAAGTGTGTACAAGGTTGTACAAGTGTGTACAAGGTTGTACAAGTGTGTACAAGGTTGTACAAGTGTGTACAAGGTTGTATAAGTGTGTACAAGGGTGTACAAGTGTGTACAAGGTTGTACAAGTGTGTACAAGGTTGTACAAGTGTGTACATGGTTGTACAAGGTTGTACAATTGTGTACAAGGTTGTACAATTGTGTACAAGGTTGTACAAGTGTGTACAAGGGTGTACAAGTTTGTACAAGTGTGTACAAGTTTGTACAAGTGTGTACAAGTTTGTACAAGTGTGTACAAGTTTGTACAAGTGTGTACAAGTTTGTACAAGGTTGTACAAATGTATACAAGGGTGTACAAAAGTGTACAAGGGTGCACAAGTTTGTACAAGGGTGTACAAGTGTGTACAAGCTTGTACAAGTGTGTACAAGCTTGTACAAGTGTGTACAAGGGTGTACAGGTTTGTACAAGGTTGTACAAGTGTGTACAAGGTTGTATAAGTGTGTACAAAGGTGTACAAGTGTGTACAAGGTTGTACACATGTGTACAAGCTTGTACAAGTGTGTACAAGCTTGTACAAGTGTGTACAAGGGTGTACAGGTTTGTACAAGTTTGTGAGCCGTGACATGCCCACCAAGCGTCCCACCAGTGTCACGCCTCACTGTTTTTTGTATAGTGCGAGTGCTGGCCTTGCGCCGGAACTCAGTCGGTTTGGGTCGGGCAGCTATCCTGCAACCCAGAGTCAATGTCCGCCTTCTGTCACATTTTCACCAGAAGGCCGGCGATTGTCGATTTGTCAAGACTTGGTTATCTTCGATGAATATCAGTGTTCATCCTTCAATGTCACTGTTAATTTTGTTCTTCTGTTCGTCGTCAATTCAAGTCATGATTTAAGTGTTTTGCCAGTCGTCAGATGAGTAAGTTGTTTGATTATTTTGATTTGTTTAGGTTAGAAAGTTTCTGAATTAGTTTTGGCTTTCAGCCACATGTTGAGCAGGCTTTAAATGGGTTTTGGCTAGTGAAGAACAAGTATTAAGCACCTTCTGTGCATTGGTATTACTTTTAATTACCAATTACTTGTTTTTCAAGGCGCTAGACCCATTTCTGAGGCTGGAATTGAACAGAGTTTTGTTGGGCCTTTGGCCAAGCTTTGTGTGGTCAAACCACAAGTTTTTCTGGTTAGTTTTGTAGTTTTTGTTGTTGTCAAGTTTTCAAAGCTTTCCCCGAGACTCTAGGCCAGATATTACCCAAGAAAACTCACTTTGAAACTCACTTTTGTGCGGGCTAGGGTCCGTTTGTTCTGTGTCCCTGTTAACTAACTATTAGGCCTAAGGCCTAGTTTGTGCTCATTTTGGTTTTGTTATTGTGGCCTACAATTTGTTTAATGTAAATTTTGTCCCTTTGTCCCCTGTAAAAGTGTTTTTTTTGTTATTTGTAATGTAGGCCATGTCACTCAGCCTAAATTTTTTTTGTAAAGTAATGGCACCTCCTGGGGGCCAAGCTCGGTCATAATTAGTTAGTATTAGTGCTCTTACATGTCCCCTGCAATTTTCATTAAGTTTGGTTGATAAATGACCGAGTTATTTAAGTTTTAGTTTAGCGCTTTCCTGTTTGCTGAGTGACCGTAGGTAACTGACCCCCTACCTAGCCTCAGGCTAGTTGGTAGGCATGGGTTTGTCCTTTAAAAGCTGCGGGCACCTGTGCCACAGCTTTTAAAAGCAATTTGAGCAAATTTGGTTGGTAATAACCGGAGTTATTACCGGTTTTACCCAAAAATGCACCTCCAGCCAAAGAATTTTTAAAATTTTGTGAGAACTGTTTTTTGAAGTGTTTATTGTAGTATTTATGTAACTGTTTTGTGTTTTACTAGTGTATATTACCCTTCTGGACCCTAAATTCATATTTTTTATTGTTAACTCCAATCTTTATAAAATGTTACTGTCAGAATGTGTTGTTAAAGTTAGTAATATTTAAAAGTCTATTTATTGTTATGTTTTAGAGCTTTATTCAATTGAATTAATAATTTGTTTCTAGTCTTTGCTCATTGTAACTGTTAAAGACAGTTTTATAAAGGAAAGCCTATTTAAAAGAAAAAAATTTTTTTCAAAGTCTCATTGTAACAGTTTTGGTCAGCAACCAGTGGTGCGGAAAAGTTTTTTGGATTCCTTTTCTTGAATAGCTGGGTAGGCCTAATTTTACACCCAAATGAAGCCTAAGATATGAACTATTACTAGTTGGACCTGGAATTTGTTAAAAGGGTCCCGGATGGGAGGTTTCGTTTTGCTGCTGTCCTCGGAGAGGGTCGCCTGGGGGGACACTCCATCTTCCACCTCCTGGGGCTGCCAATGGCCCAGCTTCTCCGGGGATCATTAAGCTACGCACCGTCATCCACCACCACCGCCTGCCACCAGCAAGGAACATGTTGTGCCACGCAATACGCAAGTTATAGCCTACTTTGAAATTACGAACATTTTAAAAGACTTTATATTTGAAAGGGGCCCCGCAATATGATTGATTCTTCGTTATTTATTTTTATAGTATTGTTATTTATTTAATTGTTAATTTTTTCAAAGTTTAAAGTTATTTACAGTTACCATCTTTAATTATTTCATTGTTAGGCCTAATTTGTTACTGGTACCAGTTTTTGTAATTCAGAAGGGTAAACTTAAAATGCTTATTTATTTAATTTTTTGAGAAAGCCTTAAGAGATTTAAAAGATAAATTCTTTGGATGGAGGAAATGATGTTGTTTGTTGTAATTGTTGAATTTTTGAGATTAATTATAGGCTTTGTTGACAACTGTTTGTTTGTTTTTAATATTCACCCACGGCCTTTCACTTTTGTTAGGGATGTGGGGCGGCCACTCGCACTGTCACTATGGGGGGCATGCTTCCAGTAGTTGTTCGTCTGGGGGCGGTGCGAGGGGTCGGCTCATTTGTACAAGTGTGTACAAGTTTGTAAAAGGTTGTACAAGTGTGTACAAGGTTGTACAAGTGTGTACAAGGTTGTACAAGTGTGTACAAGGTTGTACCATAGTGTACAAGGTTGTACAGGTGTGTACAAAGGTGTACAAGTGTGTACAAGGTTGTACAAGTGTGTACAAAGTTGTACAAGTGTGTACATGGTTGTACAAGGTTTTACAATTGTGTACAAGGTTGTACAAGTGTGTACAAGGTTGTACAAGTGTGTACAAGGGTGTACAAGTTTGTACAAGTGTGTACAAGTTTGTACAAGTGTGTACAAGTTTGTACAAGGTTGTACAAATGTACACAAGGGTGTACAAAAGTGTACAAGGGTGCACAAGTTTGTACAAGGTTGTACAAGTGTGTACAAGTTTGTACAAGGTTGTACAAGTGTGTACAAGTTTGTACAAGGTTGTACAAGTGTGTACAAGTTTGTACAAGGTTGTACAAGTGTGTACAAGTTTGTACAAGGTTGTACAAACGTGTACAATTGTGTACAAGGTTGTACAAGTGTGTACAAGGTTGTACAAGTGTGTACAAGGTTGTACAAGTGTGTACAAGCTTGTACAAGTGTGTACAAGGGTGTACAAGTGTGTACAAGGGTGTACAGGTTTGTACAAGTTTGTACAAGTGTGTACAAGTTTGTAAAAGGTTGTACAAGTGTGTACAAGGTTGTACAAGTGTGTACAAGGTTGTACCATAGTGTACAAGGTTGTACAGGTGTGTACAAAGGTGTACAAGTGTGTACAAGGTTGTACAAGTGTGTACAAAGTTGTACAAGTGTGTACATGGTTGTACAAGGTTTTACAATTGTGTACAAGGTTGTACAAGTGTGTACAAGGTTGTACAAGTGTGTACAAGGGTGCACAAGTGTGTACAAGGGTGTACAATCGTGTACAAGCTTGTACAATCGTGTACAAGCTTGTACAAGTGTGTTCAAGGGTGTACAGGTTTGTACAAGGTTGTACAAGTGTGTACAAGGGTGTACAAATGTGTACAAGGATGTAAAAGTTTGTACAAGTGTGTACAAGTTTGTACAAGGTTGTACAAGTAAGTACAAGTTTGTACAAGGGTGCACAAGTGTGTACAAGGTTGTACAAGTGTGTACAAGCTTTTACAAGTGTGTACAAGGTTGTACAATTGTGTACAAGGTTGTACAAGTGTGTACAAGGTTGTACAAGTGTGTACAAGGTTGTACAAGTGTGTACAAGGTTGTACAAGTGTGTACAAGGTTGTACAAGTGTGTACATGGTTGTACAAGTGTGTACAAGGTTGTACAAGTGTGTACAAGGTTGTACAAGTGTGTACAAGGGTGCACAAGTGTGTACAAGGGTGTACAATCGTGTACAAGCTTGTACAAGTTTTTACAAGGTTGTACAAGTGTGTACAAGGTTGTACAAGTGTGTACAAGGTTGTACAAGTGTGTACAAGGTTGTACAAGTGTGTACAAGGTTGTACAAGTGTGTACAAGGTTGTATAAGTGTGTACAAGGGTGTACAAGTGTGTACAAGGTTGTACAAGTGTGTACAAGGTTGTACAAGTGTGTACATGGTTGTACAAGGTTGTACAATTGTGTACAAGGTTGTACAATTGTGTACAAGGTTGTACAAGTGTGTACAAGGGTGTACAAGTTTGTACAAGTGTGTACAAGTTTGTACAAGTGTGTACAAGTTTGTACAAGTGTGTACAAGTTTGTACAAGGTTGTACAAATGTATACAAGGGTGTACAAAAGTGTACAAGGGTGCACAAGTTTGTACAAGGGTGTACAAGTGTGTACAAGCTTGTACAAGTGTGTACAAGCTTGTACAAGTGTGTACAAGGGTGTACAGGTTTGTACAAGGTTGTACAAGTGTGTACAAGGTTGTATAAGTGTGTACAAAAGTGTACAAGTGTGTACAAGGTTGTACAAGTGTGTACAAGCTTGTACAAGTGTGTACAAGCTTGTACAAGTGTGTACAAGGGTGTACAGGTTTGTACAAGTTTGTACAAGTGTGTACAAGTTTGTAAAAGGTTGTACAAGTGTGTACAAGGTTGTACAAGTGTGTACAAGTGTGTACAAGTTTGTACAAGGTTGTACAAGTGTGTAGAAGTTTGTACAAGGTTGTACAAGTGTGTACAAGTTTGTACAAGGTTGTACAAGTTTGTACAAGTTTGTACAAGGTTGTACAAACGTGTACAATTGTGTACAAGGTTGTACAAGTGTGTACAATGTTGTACAAGTGTGTACAAGGTAGTACAAGTGTGTACAAGGTTGTACAAGTGTGTACAAGGTTTTACAAGTGTGTACAAGGTTGTACAAGTGTGTACAAGGTTGTACAAGTGTGTACAAGGTTGTACAAGTGTGTACAAGGGTGCACAAGTGTGTACAAGGGTGTACAATCGTGTACAAGCTTGTACAATCGTGTACAAGCTTGTACAAGTGTGTACAAGGGTTTACAGGTTTGTACAAGGTTGTACAAGTGTGTACAAGGGTGTACAAATGTGCACAAGGATGTAAAAGTCTGTACAAGTGTGTACAAGTTTGTACAAGGTTGTACAAGTGTGTACAATGTTTTACAATTGTGTACAAGGTTGTACAAGTGTGTAGAAGGTTGTACAGGTTTGTACAAGGTTGTACAAGTGTTTACAAGGGAGTACAAGTATGTACAAGAATGTACAAGTTTGTACAAGTGTGTACAAGTGTGTACAAGGTTGTACAAGTGTGTACAAGGTTGTACAAGTGTGTACAAGGTTGTACAAGTGTGTACAAGGTTGAACAAGTGTGTACAAAGGTGTACAAGTGTGTACAAGGTTGTACAAGTGTGTACAAGGTTGTACAAGTGTGTACAAGGTTGTACAAGTGTGTACAAGGTTGTACAAGGTTGTACAATTGTGTACAAGGTTGTACAAGTGTGTACAAGGTTGTACAAGTGTGTACAAGGGTGTACAAGTTTGTACAAGTGTGTACAAGTTTGTACAAGTGTGCACAAGTTTGTACAAGGTTGTACAAATGTATACAAGGGTGTACAAAAGTGTACAAGGGTGCACAAGTTTGTACAAGGGTGTACAAGTGTGTACAAGCTTGTACAAGTGTGTACAAGGGTGTACAGGTTTGTACAATGTTGTACAAGTGTTTACAAGGGTGTACAAGTATGTACAAGAATGTACAAGTTTGTACAAGTGTGTACAAGTTTGTAAAAGGTTGTACAAGTGTGTACAAGGGTGTACAAGTGTGTACAAGGGTGCACAAGTTTGAACAAGGGTGTACAAGTGTGTACAAGCTTGTACAAGTGTGTACAAGCTTGTACAAGTGTTTACAAGGGTGTACAAGTATGCACAAGAATGTACAAGTTTGTACAAGTGTGTACAAGTTTGTAAAAGGTTGTACAAGTGTGTACAAGGGTGTACAAGTGTGTACAAGGGTGCACAAGTGTGTACAAGGGTGTACAATCTTGTACAAGCTTGTACAATCGTGTACAAGGGTGTACAGGTTTGTACAAGGTTGTACAAGTGTGTACAAGGGTGTACAAATGTGTACAAGGATGTAAAAGTTTGTACAAGGGTGTACAAGTGTGTACAAGGGTGCACAAGTGTGTAAAAGCTTGTACAAGTGTGTACAAGGGTGTACAGGTTTGTACAAGGTTGTACAAGTGTGTACAAGGATGTACAAGTATGTACAAGAATGTACAATTTTGTACAAGTGTGTACAAGTTTGTAAAAGGTTGTACAAGTGTGTACAAGGGTGTACAAGTGTGTACAAGGGTGCACAAGTTTGTACAAGGGTGTACAAGTGTGTACAAGCTTGTACAAGTGTGTACAAGGGTGTACAGGTTTGTACAATGTTGTACAAGTGTTTACAAGGGTGTACAAGTATGTACAAGAATGTACAAGTTTGTACAAGTGTGTACAAGTTTGTAAAAGGTTGTACAAGTGTGTACAAGGGTGTACAAGTGTGTACAAGGGTGCACAAGTTTGAACAAGGGTGTACAAGTGTGTACAAGCTTGTACAAGTGTGTACAAGCTTGTACAAGTGTTTACAAGGGTGTACAAGTATGCACAAGAATGTACAAGTTTGTACAAGTGTGTACAAGTTTGTAAAAGGTTGTACAAGTGTGTACAAGGGTGTACAAGTGTGTACAAGGGTGCACAAGTGTGTACAAGGGTGTACAATCTTGTACAAGCTTGTACAATCGTGTACAAGGGTGTACAGGTTTGTACAAGGTTGTACAAGTGTGTACAAGGGTGTACAAATGTGTACAAGGATGTAAAAGTTTGTACAAGGGTGTACAAGTGTGTACAAGGGTGCACAAGTGTGTAAAAGCTTGTACAAGTGTGTACAAGGGTGTACAGGATTGTACAAGGTTGTACAAGTGTGTACAAGGATGTACAAGTATGTACAAGAATGTACAATTTTGTACAAGTGTGTACAAGTTTGTAAAAGGTTGTACAAGTGTGTACAAGGGTGTACAAGTGTGTACAAGGGTGTACAAGTGTGTACAAGCTTGTACAAGTGTGTACAAGGGTGTACAAGTGTGTACAAGGTTGTACAAGTGTGTACAAGGTTGTACAAGTGTGTACATGGTTGTACAAGGTTGTACAATTGTGTACAAGGTTGTACAATTGTGTACAAGGTTGTACAAGTGTGTACAAGGGTGTACAAGTTTGTACAAGTGTGTACAAGTTTGTACAAGTGTGTACAAGTTTGTACAAGTGTGTACAAGTTTGTACAAGGTTGTACAAATGTATACAAGGGTGTACAAAAGTGTACAAGGGTGCACAAGTTTGTACAAGGGTGTACAAGTGTGTACAAGCTTGTACAAGTGTGTACAAGCTTGTACAAGTGTGTACAAGGGTGTACA